AATTCTTTAGACCACCCCCACATTTCCATACCTCGAGGATAATTTTCTCGACTTGTGGAGGTGGTACTCCCGTCGACGTATCTATCAGATGTCTCTGTAAGTTTTTCAAAACAAACGAGGCCGTTAACGCTCGGGATTTGAGATCCGCGCGCCAAAATACCTTTTCCCAACGTGGCACTACTAATAGAAACACTCCTGTCGACTGGTTTACTGGTGACTCAGCACTTTGGGAACCAGAAATGGTGGCGGAAACACCCATGCCAGCGAGTAGTTCTATGGGACACTGAATGCGTCGTGAAATAGGGCTTGCTGGTCTTTCAGATCTCGCGAAACATAGTTGTATACTACATGCGCTGTTGCAGAGGCAAACAGATCGATCGTCGGAGTTCCCCACTTCATAAACACTGTCTCCACACAGTCTGGCAGGAGGTGCCATTCTGGAAGTATACGTAAACGTGAAAGATGATCGGCGTGGTTGTTGTAAATGCCTGGGAGATAGTGTATATTGAGATGTATTGGATGTTCGTCTAGTAGGTCCAAAATCTGATGTGTCAATTTCATTAGGGGTAGCGATTTCGTGCCTCCTTCCTTCCGCAAGTGGGCTACAGCAGTCTTGTTGTCGCACTGTATTAAAATCGAGCTGTGGCTTATTAAGTGAGCTTGACTCTGAAGGGCGTGTAGTATAGCTAACATTTCCTTCTGGTTGCAGTGCATAGTTTGTTCGGCTTCGGACCAAGTTCCCACCATTGCTATTTCGTTCAATTGTGCCCCCCAAGCCAGATCTGACGCATCGGTCGTAAGGCAGTTGACCGGGGGTGGATAATGCAGAAGTGTTGGGAAATGACAATTTTGAAGCCACCAATGCAGTTCGACTATCACCTTTTCTGGTATAGTGTAAGCTCTTGATGTTTTGTAACAAAACTGGCAAAATTTAGAAGTCCTACCAGACTTTGTGCCATTTTTAGAGTTACTACATTTTGTCTGAGAGTAAGCCTTATCTTTTGAGTTATTGTAACAGTTTTTTCTGTTGGTAAAGATTTCAGGTTGTCCCATAGATTCCACGTTATTCCTAAATAATTCAGGCTTTTTTGAGGATGAAGTTTGGACTTCTCGAAATTTATTTGCCATCCCAAATGCAGTAGAAATTGAACAGCCAGATCGACATGTTCGCGTAGTATGCGAACGTTTTGATGTACTATTAAGAAATCGTCCAAATAAACTATAACCCTTACCTGCCACTTGTCATGTAGTGTTTGGGCTACCCAATTCGTCAATATTGAGAAGGTTTTTGGAGCTGCGCTTAACCCGAACGGGAGGCAGGTCATTTCGAGCAGTTCGTGATTGTATATTAAACGTAGGAAGCGTCTGTGGGACTTCGCTACTTTCAAGTGGAAATATGCTTGGGACAAGTCTATTTTGCACATCCAGTCTCGGGGTTGGAGGAAGTCTGGTATGCGATACATGTTTATCAAGTGGAATGAATCGGCCAGCACATAATTGTTTAGAGCTTTGAGGTTGAATATGGGACGGACTGATCCGTCGGACTTGGGTACTAGAAATAGAGGGGAAATAAAACTTGGGGATGGATGAGCTACTTTTAAAATACCCTGCACTTTCATTTTGTGTATAATGCCCGTCATTTGTTCTGACACAGGAGTATTAAACGAGCCGTTCATTAATTTTGGAAGTACCAGAGGGGGTTTTTGAAGGAAAGGGATTCGATACCCATGAATCAACCTGAGTATTATTTCTGGTGCTCCCATTTCTTGCCATCGGGTGCTGTACTTCGCTAGCCGACCTGCTTGGAAACTTCTCGAGTCATTGTTTGTGCCTGTTTTGGGTGCCTCTTGTAATCTTTTGTGGCCGCGAGCCACAGTTTTGATGAGATCCTCTCCCATAAGAGTGGCTGTCATATCGTTTGTTTGACGATTGAGTTTGACCTTCCCAGTTGGTATATTGGTGACCACTCCGCGAGGGTGGGTTTCTACAGCCATATGGGTGTGTGCATATGGCTGGTTCATGAAAAGTATATCGGGTTCCACGCGATGGAACTGTTGGATTACGAATACCTTGCCCCCGCGAGGGGCGGTTAGAGTAAGGTCTCGCGTCTGCTTTTGGTGGCCAAAAGGCTTTTCCGACGCCACCGACCTTTTCTAATGCTGCGGTAAACGGCTCTGGATTAAAAATATGACTTGACGACGGTGGAATTCTATTTAATGTAGCTTTAAGTAATGGGTCCCGAACCCGGCTAGTAATAGTTTCGCGACGCATTTCGATACTTTCAGCTCGATGACCACATACTATTTGCAACAGATCAGAAGAAATCTTTTGGAGATCACCTTTTAAAAATAGATCTTCAACCGTACTGTTTAAATTTTCGCTGTTAATGTTGGTAGTATTTCTCGCCCAAGACAGTAGGTGCTAAGTATCCTGAAGAGCCTCCTTTTGTAAGTTGCATCATATGTGCTAAGTGACACCACCTCATTGTTTGTTTCGAAGTCTATGAAACCTGGCGTGAAATTATATGACTTCTACATATCTGCATACCTTACTTCTGACCAGGATGCACTGCCTAAGCGTTGTACATCAATAAGCAACTTTAAATAGCCATTGGGAGTTTTTGAAATCAATGGCTCTTTCAACTTAGTTCCAATATCAAAAGTGAAGTCAACGTCTTCACAATAGTTTATTTCATGGGCACCGCTATGATTATAAAGTTCTCCACTAATATCAGAAAGGCATGATGCATTGTCATGGCGAGCTATATCAAAATTATTAGATAAAATGTGTTTGCGCAACTCACCCACTTCTTCAAACAGTTTGACCATCATCTGTTTGTTACGTCGCCGCTTATTTTTCTTTTTGCGCAAGCGACGACTACGGTGAGAGTGTGTCCTCTCTTTATCATTAGAAGTGCTCGATGTACTACTACTGCTCGATGAAGAACTGCTGCTGATGGAACTGTTTCGATTTCGCTTGCGATTAACGCCACTTGGACCAGCCACAGCATGTGAACCAACCGTATTAAACTCGTGATTATCCATTATTGTAAATAACTAACTGTTCTAAACATAAAATAATCTACTATTGTAATAGGCACTATTTTAATTTTAAAATGTATTCGAACGGCAATAACCGTTAAAATAAGAACTATATTTCATGAATCAAGTACCTCTTGAATTGTAGTGTAGAATAAGGTCATAAGAAAAGGTACACACCACTTTATTTCCAAAATCAACTGTACTTACGTCTATCTGCACTCAAATTCCAAAAGAACCAGACGATTCATAAAGTAAGCTGTTACTCGCCGTAAGATTTTGTTAACACTTATTTGTTTTAAACTCTGCCTTCAATTTTGTATTAAGTGCACTATTTCACTCAAGCAAGATTTCACGTAAGCACAAGTCACTTCGCCGGAAGACGAAACGCTAATGAATTAAAATTGCGCTTAGCATTTTTAGGAAAACCAAGTGAAACGCAAAGTGCCAGGTGGCGCCACTGGACAGGATATAAAGGTCATACAGGTACTAAAACTGACACAAATTGACGGAAACGGATATGCTTTCTCAATTAAAAGTTTCCAGTGACGGTCAATTATTTTAATATGAAATCTTTAGGACAGTAAAAAAAATAATGTAAACTGACACGATCTGCTATATATTTCATTAACTGTTACGTCTTGTTATAGAATCCGAATATCTTTTAAAAAAAAATCTTTTAAATTAGTTTTGTAAAGCCATCGATGATGGCGTTATTGGTGGCCCTACAAATAAATAAATGAGGCCTTGACCTCATTTATTTATGTATTATATAGGGGTCAATTGGGATTCTTGCATTTTCCTCTAAGAATTATTTTTCAACATTTTTGGCTCTCAAATATCCTTTTGTGTTAAAAAGAATTAAATTGAATTTAAATAAAAGTAACAATACTTTCGTTGCCTTTGCGTGTTTTTATTTATGTAAAATGTGTATGTCGTTGTATGTTACAAACATGTATGGCGCTAAGCGCTAACGGTTCAAAATTTTAATCATCCGTCTTCAGGAGCTTACAGCATATTATACTAAAAATAATCACATTCTATTGATTATGGGAAAACCATTGCCTCTTCCTCATTTACACAAAAAAGTCAATAAGAAATTAAAATTCCTTATACATAAAATTAGAAAATTTTCAATTTTTGCGTTCACATTTTATCATTTTATTACATTTTAAAGCGTCTTTAAAAACATGTTATTTAGGCTTTGGATATGACACGGGATATGGCTTGGGTCTTTATTCCGTACAAAGGAGTGGTAAGCGAGAACATAGCGTTCCATTATATAGAGAGCTCTTGAAAACTGGATCCAGGATATTCATCTTTACGTCACCGGGGGTGTGTTACACAAACACGACATTAATGCTCCTTTGAAAGGGTTTTGTGAAGCAATAATTGCGAAAGATTTAGAAAAATAATAACTACAGCCTCCAGTTCTTTTTCTTCATATGCCGAGATTCAAAGGAACTTTTTTCTCTGTGGTCATGTACGGTTAACTACGCAAATATTATCGTAATCGATTATTTCATATTTTCATAGGAAATAATTGATTATCGTTTTATTTCATAAAAATTGGGAACGGCAGTATCCAACAAATTTAAGGGCTTCATTGAATGAATTGGTTTTTTACTTATTTATTATTTTAAGTTAATAACAGTTTCAATAACAATTATATTTAACTAGCTAGCTGCAGATGCTTTGCCACCAAAGATATTTAAATAATTCCCGAGCCGTAATCTGAAGGGAAGCCTTTTGTTCAGCAGTGGACTAAAACAGGCCGAAATGATATTTACGAGGATGATGATTAAACTGTAATAGATTTAACGCTTACCATCCCAAAAGGAGCAAAACGGCCGCTTAATTCTTCAGAAGTCATGGTTATCTGAAAGATGTTGAGGCACCGTGCCAAAGTTTATTGTTTGCAGTCCCCGATAAGATAATCATTTTCTTTTTCTTTGCCGGCAGGATGCAACAGAACGTACTACGGTGACATCGGTAGAACCTATGAGTTGGAACTGCATAGACCCCGGGAGGATCTGGTTCCGTATGTGTGCCTTTTAACCATAACGGCGGCTGGAGGTATTCACGGAGACTTAGTACAGGTAACTTACCATCAATAACTAATAGCACCATATAATTTTTTCCTGTAAAAGTTGTGCCGAATTTGGCATGTCAGTTAGCAGAACGTTCTTGGAGTGAAACGACGCTTATTTATCTGCTTTGGCTATAATATTACGTTTATTCGTAGGTTCTATTCGATAGCTTCACGCTGGGCCGGTTCACATCGTTCACCGAAGACGGCTGCCCCGATGGTTACATGCAAATCCAAGAGGCTAGTAGACCCCAGGTTGGAGGTTCTTGGTGCGGAACTTCTTGGGGCCCATCAATATATTACAGCGAGACGAAATCCATTACGCTAATCATAAGATTGCTTCACTTATCAAAGGAGCAGAACAATTATAATTTTGATTTTCGAATGGCATACAAGGTTCTGAGGAAAGAATATGCTACGGTACGGTACGGTGGCTCCCCTCCATCTGGTAAATATAACACTATATTTAAAATAGTTTAGAATACACTGACGATATTGTAAAACAGGCATACTGAAAACAAAATAAGTCATCACAGCTTATGTAAAGTACGAAAAACAAGCATGCAATAAACTTAAATTTTATAATTTGCATATTACGATGGATTCCCTTATTACAGAGAGGCCATTTTTTAAATTGAGACCGATGCCCCCTCCATTAAACATATCGCGTAACGAAGACCAGAGCGTTGCGAGGCCAAAGAATTACTTTTACTTAGGCGATTTGATATCGGGGACGTACTGCTCGCGGATATTCAGCGATTGCGATCGTAAAAAATGCCGTTTGCAGTCACCCAACTACCCTGGCGTATACCCGAGGAACTTGACCTGTTATTACGCGGTACGTCAGCATGAGGTGCCCCAGGGGAAGCATGCGCTGATCATAGTCAAGCAGCCGAACGGGCAGCTGGTCTCGATAAGGAGCCAGAAAGCTTTGTACGCAGCGGCACAGCAGGAAAGGGGCAATAGTGGCAGGGAGCTGAAATTCTGGCAGCAGTGTGACGAAGTACAGGATTACGTCACAGTCTACGACGGCTACACGACACGGGACCCTGTTATATTGAGGTTTTGTGGCGGAGGCGTGCCAGTGCCGGAGGCGATATCGAGCGGCCCCGAGTTGCTTGTGGAGTTCACAACTTCGCCCTTCGGAACTTTCTTACAACCAGCGACATTACAATCGCTCCACGGATTCCAACTTGAGGTTGAGGTGAATTATCCAGTTTTCACACTACTTACTAATAATAACACTTATCGTAGCTGCATAATATTTTTTATAAAATAAAAGGTATGTGAATAACTTTAAAACTACTCCATGAAAATCTTCTGTTACATATTTACTGAGAATTTTGAGACAGTCACATGGTGTGAAGGTATCGTAAAATAATTATGTTTGACCAATGTTTTCTTATAAATTCTTAATGTTTCCGTGATTCTTGGAATTAATGAACTTGCGAAACACATTTATTAAAATTATCAATTGATACCTTAATCAAGAAACCAGTAGTTTTTGTAAATAACATTTTTTCTGTCATAACTTTCTTCTTCCGAACAAAATTATTGTTTGAGTGCCTATTTCAAGAAATAACCCAGTGGTAATTTCTTATAAAACTCTAAGTAGTCTTTGTCTTTTATTGACCTATAAGTTCACTAACTAAAATAGCTCTTAGCCATTATTATTAAGCTTAACTTAATAAAAATGCCTAAAGCTTTAGTTTGATAAAAATGGCATATCTTTGCCTTAAAAGAATACATCTTCATTACATTACTCATTGGGAAGCTCCCTTTGATATTGTTAATTAACGTTGAAAGTAGTGTAAGAGCTATCAATTGTCATTAAGAAGTTAATACAAATGCCTCCGTGCTCGATTAAGATTCCCAATTTTATAGATATTCAATTTTTCGGTAACATTAATGAATATGCATTACGTAAACAGCCTTAAGAATCAAATATGTTTAATAAAATATATAAACAGTATTTTTAACTTGCAATGCTAATTTTGTATAATTTTAAATGGATAAAAGATTCCATATTAAAAAACTATTGAAATATAATCTCGGTAAAGTCTATACATAACATTATAACTTTGAATTATATTTTAGGTAAGATTTGTCGATCAACAATCGCCTACTTATGCAAAAAACAAAAGGGCCTGCGAGTTTTGGATACGAGGGACGGGAAAAGGTGTTTTGGAGCACCCTCAGCACTCGCTACCTCCCAACACCACTTGTCTGTACCACATGCAGGGGATTGACACGTCAGGGCCGTCGGGGAGGAACATAATTTACAGGAGGCCGTCGTTCTCGGCGCCGAGATTTCGCGTGTGGTTCTCGGTTCTGAAATTTTACGTAACGAACGCGTTAAATCCGAATTTGCCCGAGGACGAGTATTGCGGTAGCCATTTGAATATATGGGACGGCCCCATGCGGATATCGCCCGGTTGCAGCGATATATTTTGGTGAGTTTTATTAGCAGTAAAATTACCAACGCTTCATTTTTTGACTCGGTCGAATTTATTTTTCGATAAAAGTAAAAAATGAATGTGTTTCGACTGATGTAATTTTAATAGTTTTATACTGTTTTCATAATCGTGTTTGTGTACACAAAACCGATTTCATTTTGAAATTGGAAAAAATGATTTGAAACGTACCAAAAAAATTTACCGAGGCAAACGTTTTTATTCCTATCATCGAAAATGCTTTCACAGATTGCGTCGAGGCATATGAAATTTTAACACCATACCACCGTACATCTCTCATAGTTATGTAACTTGTATCTATATCTGATATATACATACATTTGCTGTATAAATGTAAAAAATAAAATATATAATTTTCCTATAAAAAGTAAGTAGTAAAGTTGAAATACGACGGGTACATTATTTACTTAATTTTCGCAGGTACACTCCCCGACCACCTCAAAGGACCAAATAAAGAATTCGCTTGTTTCAGTGACAGAGAACGCTCGGTGCAAATGTCAAGAGCGACGTCGCCCCAGTCCGTTATTGTTGGACGTCCTCCAACAAATGCTACTTTAATCGCGAGGTTCTGCCGTGAGCGGGCACCGCGCACTTGCGAACATGCTTTATTACGGAAATCTAGGGCTTGCACTCGCACCGAGAGCTTTCTCTCCAAAGGGGACTCTTTAACGCTGGAGCTAAAGTTGACTCAAGGGACCGCTCTGAAGTAAGGCGATACGCTTAGTGTTATTAAGTAGGAAACTAGTTTGTAAGTAGACGCCCTATTGAAACTTTGTAATTACGATCGGATGTATGTGCCACAGTAAGCTTTATGCCAAATATCCTGTATTATTTTAATATTTAAATAATATATTATTATCATTCTTTGACGTTAAAATCTATCTTATATTTATGGGAAAAATACATAACATTATTTGAAAGTATTCTTTTTCAATGAGTTTATTTTCATTTCAGATTTAGTTATTTTCCTTTTTATGATACTTCAAAACTACTTATTTTTTGTTATCTCATAATCAAAGACCAAACGAACTTCGGAGTAACATTCGATCGTAATTATGTGTACAGCTTCTTTCGACGCGATTTTCTTTTAACAAAGTGTAGTAGCGTTCCCTGCGTTATTGTTACTTACTTTTTTTATAAATGGGGAAGATGTTGACGGTTTTCAAATAAAGTAGTTGTCATTCTGTAAGGCGTTTCAATAACACAACAGATGGATTTAGTTTGTATTTCACTATTTTGAAATATATGTATAAGTTTTTTTTTTATGTTATATGCCAGGTGAATATTCCGATGTTCTTTATAAGAAGTGGCAAACAAGAAAATGTTTCACCTGATGGTAAGTGACCACTGCCACCCATGGACTTCTAAAACACTTGAGGGCAGGTGCGTAGGCAACATTTAAAATTATGGGCTAAGGTTACCTCATTCATAACACGAAAAGCAAGAGTTTACTTCTACTTTTTCTTCATGTTGTCAGGCTGTGGAAATTCATCGGATCAGCATGCCCATCCGTGCAAAGGGGGAAGGTGTTGCGTAACCCAACCAATTTTTTTGTGACACTTATATTTTTCCATATAACTACAAATGCTTAGAAAAATAATGTCCTGGGGCTATGTATTACGATATATTTATTTCATTAATAGCAACAATTTGGGAATGAACAGAAAAAAAAGAGATTATATTTTGATGTTTTGAGGTGGAAAATGACAAAAAAGAAGATATCTACGCACTTTCTTTCGTCTGTTCTTCTCCGTTAGAGGAACCTCATTACGAAATGGTGGTAGATTTAAAAAAAAGATTAAATGGTTTTTTTCTTATTAATATTTTTAAAAAAAAATTTAAAATCATTAATTATTCAGATTAATAATTAAAGATTTTTATTTTGCGGTATGTTAGAAACATTATTAAAAATTTTTTTGTTCGAATTCTAGTTGACATTAGATTTAGTTAGTTTTTTTTCGTAGGCCTGTATTCTTCAAGGCACTATACGAGTTTGTGGACCTGCATCAAGACGGCGAGCCGTGGGGTCGAGGTCCATGCTCTAGGCGTTTCGCTTCCCGTTCTTTCCCCGAAGCACCTCCCGACCCTCCAGTCAGTTTCTCATCCCCACGAGACGTCTTCCTGTACGGTAGAGGAGGCAAACGAAACATCAGGTATGAATATATATATATATGTATATATAAAAATAAATATATAAAAATAAACCTGACTTTCTCACTAGGTTTTTGGCAATAGAGAATTATTAAGATCTTAAAAGGTTTTGAGAAAAAAATGTTTGTGTGTACTTATGTACGTACGTAATAAGTTTTACTTATTTAGCGTATTCAAGCCAAAAGAAGTATAAAAGTCTTTATTGTTATTGTAAATGCCCCCTTATCTATGGAATTCCTATTGTCTAGTTCAAGTTAATTAATAGTGAAGTATAGTTTTTTTTGATAATTATCTTTATTTATACTTCTCACTTCAATCAATGTTGATATGATAATGTTATACGATATTTATATGTTATATGATAATGCTATTTGTGAATATAATAGATTCACTATGCTATGTTTATTTTAAATTGATTGTTTAGTAAATATTGTTTGTAATTTGTTCCATTAATTTTATTTTTATAATCATTAATACACATGTAAATACCAACATTGTTAGAAGTCAAGATATTGTATTCAAGTATTGGCGTTTTAAGTGGAAATTCCCTGTTAATTAATAAGTATAAATTAATCCAAAGACGAAATGAAATACGTTTCGAAATAAATCCGAGCGACATTAACTACGTCAATCGCCTTCCTTATCAAATGAAATTGGCGCGTGTCGTAACGTAGCTTTGTAACAACGTCAGTTTTGAAAGGTATATTATTTATTATTATGGTGCTGCAGTTAATCAAGTAATTTTTTTTATGTCTATACCAGACCTAATAAAAATAAATGAAACTGGTTTAGATAAATGCATAGTATTCAGTGAAATAACACACACAGTTTTGACGACTTTATTTCATTTACATTATAAGTCTCGATTTTGTTTTATGTTCATTTTAATTAGTATATTTCGCAACTTTTATTTTTCGCAACTAAAACAATAGTAATTTCCAAAATGTAATAATCATCCTTTATCAAAGTTTATTTCTTCAGTATCAATTAAATGTTGTTTTAGCTGTACATATCGATTTGAAGCAAACCCCGGTGAGATCGTACGGCTCCGTGTATGGGGTATTCGCAGTGGGGGAAGGTTGTGTAGATCTGTTCACTCCGCCCACTCGGCCTGGTATCGATGTGGTGGAGATCCAACAGCTGCCCTCAGGGTTTTTGAACGACCGTGGAGAGACAACGGCCCTGGGGTACCCCGAGATTGCTTGTGCAGGTAATGTTTGTTCACACGGTAGGAAAAAGTATATATAGTATATTCGCAACAGAGACATGGGACAGGAGCCTATGATAGTTATACTAATACCGAAATGTAATTTGCTTTAGTGACAAGCCACGATTTTAAATATCACCATCTTCCTTTTGCCCTTATCCCATTAGGTTGGGCCAGCAAAATATGGTTAATCATGTTGTAAGCGTTTTTTGGCTATGTTTGTTACAATTGTCCATCTGCCTGAAGTCAACCCCCCAGGGAAATAAACACCCGGATCTGGAACAATTAATTGTGGGTCACACAAATAATTGTGTGTGAACCGCACTCACGATCCACGACACCGAAGCCAATAGCTTAGCAACGGCGCGCGATTTAAAATATACCCTACTAAATCGGAGATTGTTAAAACGTCTAATACTACTATAGGTTTCCCTATTCTCTTTATATAACTCTGTGGGGTACTTTGCACTACAAAAGTGGTTTAATTTTCTAGTGACGTAGGAGATTACGAGTTTACATCGCGGTCGACGGTTGCTGAATTGAAGTTCGATGTCGTCAATATGACCGCCACGGACGATTTCCGGTCATTCGGATTCGAAGCGTCAGTCGAATTTGTCAGGCAGGAAATCTTGTGTGAAAACACCCACAGAGCTTTCGGGGCTAGCGGCGAACTAAGGCTAACGGCGACACCGACATCTGAATTGGTATTGTTATATAACTTTGCTTATATCTATTTTAAACAGTATTTATCATGTCTTTCTTTGGCTTATAAAACACCCGTATATTAGATTTGACGTATCGTTAATATCTTACTGATGTTCCAATAGGATTTTGTAATTAATCATCGAATTTGATGCAATACTTCTTTGTAACTGAAGTCTATTACTATCACAGGATCGCTGCGAGATTCGTCCGTGGCTGATTGATCCTTCACCGGGCAGATATCTTTATCTCCAAATTAAGGGAATCGTCATAAAGGAACCCGAATTGGACAACTTTACTCTCCTCAACAATATCACTGTCGCACCAGACCTCAGACACTTATGCAGAACGCCAAATCGGATCGCAATATACGCTGGTGGCTTGACGCCCATATTTATTTGTCCTGAACCGCCCGGGGTAAAACTATATTTTATATGTAAATTGGTAATGCTAATCAGCTAATCGATTTTAGTCAATTTGAAATCATTGTGAGAAGCAATCGTCGTAATTGTCATTAAGTGACATAATTACATTAAACACTAAGTAGATAATATTTTCTTCAAATAAAAGAGATCAGCTCTTCTGTCTTAGACTGAAATATTAAAAAATGAACCAATATTTGGACTAAAATTTCATTTCAAATTGTTGTTAAAAAAATCCATATTCCGCATGTGTTGTGAAATTTGTGAAGAATCAAACGATTCAAAACTTATTTAATAAATTATTGACGACATTTCAGGACGATGTAGTGGAAATTTTTTCCGATGGTTGGTCTAAAGAAGTGGACCCACTAGCCCGTCACGTTCTAGCACCACCCCCGTCGCCTGATCATTTCGACTTAGACTGGCCGCGATCGTTATCTGTTGAACTTATAGCAGAAGAAAGCGGCTCTTATTACCTTACATGGTTGGAACTTTCTAGAAGGTACTCTGAACTTTTGATACAAATACATTTAAAATAAACTATAAACAGGAATATGAGTCTCTTTTGTTATGTTAAAAGGTAGGTAAGGCCTTCACTGTACAGAGGGTATTAGGACATAGTCCATAGGTTGCAGTTATTTTTCTATTATCTCGAATATATGCAGGTTTCTTCACGATGTTTTCCTTCACCTCAGCGGTGTACGCGGTAAATCAGCACTTAAAATTAACAATTTAATTGGTACCGGCACCAGGGACCGAACTCGTATATTAAATAAAAAGCAAACTCCCGGATAATGAGCTATCACGGCTTATGTTATGTCAAAAGAGCAAGAGCATTTATTGAAAATAACATTCTTACTAAGTGATATCAAAATATTTAAATTTTAGTTCGGAGGTAGGCGTCCATAGGTTACATAAAAAATCTGTTTTAATTTATTTATTTTCGTCTGTTCTCTGTTTTGCCGTGTGCCCCTCTCTTAATGAAAATGCGAAATTGACGCAGGCATGCCAGTGAGCGTGGTGGAGTATTCGCTCTCTCGGGTGAATGCCAGTACCGATGCGCGTCGTTGGACGCGTGCATCGCTCCAGCGCTGTGGTGCGACGGCGTTGTGCAATGTCCCCAGGGCGAGGACGAACGCCTGTCGGAGTGCTCAGCGCTGTTGCGGGTGCCAGCGCATTACGCTGCAGCGCTGCTTGCGCTGACAATATTGACAGTTTTCGCTGTGGTAAGTCGCCATTTGGAGTGAAACGTAACTCACTTAACAACACGTGAACCGCAAAAACAAATGAACAACAAACAAGTGAACAAAACTTCCAATAGGGCTAACTGATGATAGGGCTAAGTGATAAAATTGGCATAAGGACTAAAGCAAAAAACACAATTCACAGTAAATGCTTGCACGCAAGTTCTTTTAATACGATTCTAACATAATAAGTCCAATATTTATTTTAACTTTAACTGTTTTTCAATGTTTTCATTATTTCTTTATGTCAAGGTTTATCGGCTAATATGATAGATTTGATAGATTAAAGAACACACCAAAACCTTCTGTCACTGTATTTAAGTCTGAATATGCTGGGTGATAAGTAAATAGTACTAGTTTTTCTGTATAATACGTTATGGTAGAAAATGTGAGTTTTTTTTTTCTGTATTTAGATAGCGGTAGCGCGTACCTGCCGCCGTAGACGCTCAGCCCTGCAGCACCGCCTCAAGAGCCTGTCTTCGGACACGGCGATCTTCGAAGAGAAGGAGGTGATTTGCTGACCAAGCGAAGACTCCGTGCGTTACGTGGAAGTAGACCGAGTCACCACAGTCTGACTGGCTTCCCGCACGGAGTCTATCGCTAGACCGTTCGTTGTCACTAACTAGACATTAATGATGTTGCATAATGAAAGTTGTTGAGAATTTTACTATCCCTTATTAAGGACCGGACCGTTGGCGTCAGGTTCAATTATGAACCACTAGTCGCGTTCGCGACCAAGTAATGAATCGTGAATAGCTGCGAGCAAATTTTTTTATTACGTATAACTATAGATGCGTTATTAAAGTATTTAACACGAACTAAATATGAAATTATAGTGAAGGAAGATTGGAAATTAAAAAAATAAATAAATACGTTATGGACCAAAGCTGCCGATCAGATGGGATATGTTGATTGATACAAATAAAGACTCTTACCATAATTGACACATTGTCGATCATGTGTTCCTTAATGTAATTCTATGAGTGATTTTTTTTAAATAGTTATAAATTGTAAAAGTTTTCTATGAACACACAACGAGTAAAAAGTTTTATCGGAGAATGAATAAGCGCACAAAAGAAAAATCGGGCGAACTGTATAAAGTCACTGTGTTTTATGTAAATATGTATGTATAACGTGTTCATAGAAAACCAACTGTAGTATCTTTTTTCGAGTAATAATTTACATTTGAAGTGGTTTACAAACATTTTTATTGTTTGTGTGGCAATAATTGCTTTAAATTGTAGAAAAACGTATGCATTATTGTTAGCCTAAGTTTAAAATGTTGAGTTTAGTTTATTGAAAGTGATACAAATATCTACTGCCATTTTTGTAATGTTAATAACTTTAATTGTCAGTATCATCAGTAAATAAATGATGACAAACAATAAAAAAGTAATTAAATCTTTGTTACATCTATTGAATCGAAGTACGATTTCTGATGTATAAATTAGTAGTTAACAATTGGCATTTACATTTCATTGTTAACAAAATTGATTCTATGGACAAAAATAGATTAGAGAACAAACTATCGATTGAATCATAGATGAAGTATTTATTTAAAGAGTTAGAAGAGTATTCTAAGTCAGTAAAGAAATGATGGTGTACATAAACCAAAAAACTACTCATATCCTTAGAAAGGTAATGACGTGATAAATTAAGTTTGTTTCCCAAGGAAATCATTGAAGTTATATATCGGGTTACCTATTAGAGAGTTTGTAGACTTAATACTAAATAAAATAATTATAAAAGAGAAACTTCTTAATAATAGATTTGATGATTATTATTTAATTATAAATTATTAATGCTCTCGTAATGCTCACGTTAGTAACGCTGGACGTGAGACGATTATACATAAATTGAGACAATTATGAATTCTTTGCTTTAAGGACAAGGAAAGGGAATAATGATCGTTATCGCAGTTTTCGATTAAATTTATTAAACTCTATGAACTTAATTATGATCTACCGAAACAAATGTTTTTTTTTTAATTTCGACTCCGAGTATTATGAATCCCAGTGTTTCATTTATTATAATTAGGATATAAAAAAAACATTAAAAGAAAGTTATAAATAAGAGTATTCTAGAGTCACAGAAGTAGATAAAAGTTGTATCGTCTTCCATAATGTATTGAGATTTCCAGGTTACGTTTCCTTCTTTACATTTTTCAAAGTTAAAAAAAAAAAATTGGATACAAACAAGTATGTGAAGTCAGGTGTTATCCTGGAAGACAATAATGATGGATAATAGCTGTTTAAGCAGAGATACCTAATTTCATGTTCATGACAATTGTAACGAAGAGTTGATGATATAAGAGGTTTTTGAAATAAAATTATTTACCGCATGAAAGTATTCGTTTTATTTGAAGAGTGTAACATTTCCATTCACATTTTCTCATCTACTGACAGTTCATTGTTGACATTTTCTTTCCAGTGAACGCTAATAAAACATGGAACCAGCCCGTTCATACAAGTGATTCTTAATAAATAATATTGACAGTTATCATGCGCCGTCAAACAAAAATTTACTAATTTGTTAGTTCAACCAAGTCTACATCTCTAAAACAGCCTCGTGTTACGGTAATAAGCCCGACGCCCTCACGATATAGTTTTTCGTTATGTCATTTTGGAGCGACTTTGTTTCCATGTTGATTTGCGTTCACTGTTTTGTTCACATTTTTTTTTATCAGACATTTTATGTAATGTTTGTACTGTAATTTTGTGAAATAAAGAATTTCATATTCGACTTCTCAAGTATAACGAACAAAATATCTGTCGTGATAGACTCTTTAGGCGCAACATTTCCGCACCAGTCACTCCATGTAGTTGACAGCTTTCCAATAAGGAAGTTTATTGGAGCAAACAGGCACCGCAATCACTATACTGAAAAATGTTTTCTGTTTCTACCATTTGACACAGATCCGACTGGGACGTTCTTTAAAGAGCGTTAAAATGAGCTTATATTTTTATATTACGTTTTTGTATTGTATTTGTGTTTGTGTGTTTTAAATAAAAAAGCTAAAAAATGTATGCTTTAACCATATAAACTTGCTACACTATCTAAAATGTTATAACTTAAAATCGGGAGACAAACGAAAAATATCATCTTTCATACCTGAAATATTTATACCATAGTAATTCCCTAAAGTAGAATAATTTATGCAGTATAACCGCAAAGAATGTTGATTCAACTTGCCCCTATCCTACTCGCGTACATATCGAATCAGTAACAATTTAAACCAATAATGGTTGTCTGAAATTGAAGAACCCTTGCGAGTAAACTTTTTAGGTAACAAATAAACAATTTGAGCATTATTGTGTACCCCATGGTAAAATAATGATCCCATGAAGATGGAATTGGTTTACGCCCAGTCTACACTCGAAGGCATTGTGTGAGTTTCTTTCGCTTTATGGTGGAGCCGATGCTGGGAAAGAGGATTTTTTGTTTCTAAATGCTAAGTTTCTTAGACTCCATTCACATCGGAGTCAGGAGAATCTCTGGCTTCCACATAAAGCACAAATCTTGTCTGAAAATAGAGAAATAGTCTTTGTTCTTCCTTCGGAAAGAACAGGTGAGTGAGCGGATGTGTGGTTAGAGGATCCGCAGACGGAAAATCTTAGGGTCAAAAAAATTCATGTTTGATAAAAGTCGGGAAAAATTTTACCCTGAAAATTCGATTACATCTTGAAGTTGCAGTTCCATTTTAGTTGCAATTAATAAATAGTTTTTTGTGTTTTCTATTTCACCTTCAAATTCATGATCAATGGTATGACGGCCGTACAATACGGACGTATACTCACGTTCTGCGAACAAAGAAGCTCAGGGGAATAGGGTTATACCCTTTATACATCGATTCATATCTAGGATTCTTTTCATTAAAGTTTCGCCGACACAATCTGAAAAAAAAAAAAAACTGCAAGAACAAATCAGGTCACACTTAGCTCAGTTGGATTCCTTTTCAAATACGAGTATGATTAATGTCGCGAATCTACGCGGCCAGTCATTATGGTGAGAACATTGTGCAAGCCGCGCTGCCTTTTCTATTGTTTCGAGTATAAAACTAGAACATGACCGAGATTTTTTGTACAAATTCCAAAAAAAATAATACCTTTCTTATTATGCATCCAGTAAACCACGTATTTATATACATAGACGAAATTTATTATATCATTTACGTCTAGAAAAACCTATACACACAAACGAATATAAAGATGCCAAAACAAACAAAACACACGCAACGGTCTTCGCCGTTGCGCGAATGGGCTAGTCCGTCCGGGGAAGTACCACGACCTCACCGATGACCGGCGTGAAGTGTAAGTGTAATACTTCTGTTTCATCTGATGAGTGAGGTAGCCGGAGTCCAGTTATTAAAAGTTTGCAACGCATCTGCAACCCTACGGGTGTTACAAATGTTAATGGGCGGTTATAACTTAACATCTGGTCCAGCCTTGCACGTCCATGCTATGAAGAATTTATAGAAGCACAATCACAGAGTCAATTTATTGAATCTGTACTAGTGGCCAATTAACTTTAATGCGCAGATTATTTTGCATAACTAATAATAACACAATTAAAGAAATTGTTAATGCAACAAAAAAATTAAACAGAACTTGACTTTTCACTTTTTTTTTACTTTATTGTACACAATTATGATACAGACAATCGGAACAAATGACAAAAACATATGTACAAAGGCGAGCTTAACCCTAAAAAGAGTTCTATTCCACCAGACCCTTGAGAGCACGAAGCCATAATACTATAGAATTAGGTGATAATTATATATTATAAGATTTTTTGATATTATACTTGTATATTATGTTGCTACTAATTGCTTAAAACTTTTCAACTAAAAACTAGTTTCATCTTAAGTCAATTTAAAATTCCTATAGTATGTACCTACCTATTTAAATTATATTTCTATCAATTTTTATTTTTACGAATTTTATCAAATACTATATATGAATTTTTGTCATTCGACGACATAAAGACAATAAAGCTGGATGACACTAGTTAAACAACTTTTTCCAGCGTAATATTAAACAAATATGAAATTTAAAAACATTATCACCATTTATAAACTTCAGGTGTATGCAACACGACGTGAATTAATACAAAGCAATCTGCATTTGATGGGGACATTTGCGGAAGCTTTCATGAATTTTTAACAACGTTAAGCATCCCACAGTGAGAGACCGTATACAGCAAACATTTAAGGTAATACTTTTCATCGAGGTGTTTTAATTTTACACGTAATGATTCATTCATCTACTGTAACTGGAAATCTCTAGTGCGGTGATGAGTTAATTAATATGCTTATAGTCTTCGCTGCTCCCGAGTTCACGTCATTAATTTTTATAGACTATGGGCATCAATGCTGAAAGTATAACCTCCGTAAAAGTAAAGTAAAGTAAAGACCTATATATAATCTACTGCTGGGTAAAGGCGTACTCTGTATAAAGGGCATAGTTCACGACGCAGCTCAACTGCGGAGTTGCGGACCCCAAATTCAGTCATCACTCAA